GCCTCTGAGTCAAAGGGAAGCCCCTTCCCTTTCTTCCCTTCCCCGCCAGGGGGGGAGGGGGGTCCCGGGGGGGGTCCTGGGGGGGGTCCCGGGGGGGGGGTCCTGGGTCAGATACGCCGCCCTCCCGGCGTCGCTTCTGTCCCTTCCCTACAGCCTTCTCCTCCACTGCGCCCGTAGAGGCCCCCAAGAGGGTCCCCTAACGGCCGAAGAGGGCCCCAATACGGCCCAAGACGCCTCCAAGACGGCCCAAGAGGCCCCAAGACGGCTCCAGGAGAGTGCTCAGACGGGGGACCCGAACGGACATTTTGAGCTCTCAGCCCCAACAGGCCCCCAAGAGGCCCCGAAGAAGCTCCAAGAGGCCCCAAGAGGCTCCCAAGGAGCCCCCAAACTGTCCCAAGACAGCCCAGGAGAGCCCCAAATTGCCCAGGAGGCCTCCAAGAGTGCCTCGAGACAGCGCAAGAGGAGCCCTGGACGGCCCAAGACGGCCTCAAGAGAGCCCCAGGCTGTCCCAAGAAAGCCTCTGGCCGCCTCCACCTCCTCCTCCTCCTCCTCCTGCTATCCTCTGCCTCCTTCTCATCCTCTTGCTTCTCCTCCACACCCTTCTCCCCCCTCCTCCTCCCTCATCCACCTCCTCCACTCTTCCTCCACCTCCCACTCATCCTCCTCCCCCTGCCCCCACCCTCGTTTTCAACTTCGTCGTTCTCAGGGTCGGCGGCACCAGCCGTAAGGCCTTCGCAATAATCGAACATAGCCGAACAATCGTCCCCCGACTATTGTTTGACTATTTTTGAATATTCCTCCTGTAGAGGGACACGCCCGACTTAATTGAAGGGACCCTGGGACACACAAATAAACACACACACACACAAATAACAGGACTCCCCATATTTCCCCATATCTTCTGGGTGTTTTTGTCTCCCCCCCACTTCCTATATTTTCCCGCAGTTCTCGGGAATCGGCGATTCGTTGTGTCCTGATTAATCCCTGCTCCACGACGCGAGGGGGGGCTTGAGAATCAGCTCACGTAGCCGATTTTCCCGGCGCCTCCCGGCGCCGAAGGAGGCCATGTGTCGAGGAATGCGCCCCTCGCTGGGGCCGAAACCAGCTGCATGCAGCAAGTTTCCTCCCCCCCCTTTCCCTATCCCTCCCTTTCGTCCGAGTCAACCCCCAGAGGTCCCGACCCTTTCCCCAGGACCGGCGTTGCATCCTGAGTCGCTTTTTGACGCTCCCGAGGCCCGGCGAGGGCCCCTGGAGGCCGAAAATTAAGAAAAAAACCTCCCGTCGTGATTTTTGTCATTGCTCGAGGGCCTCTTTCGTCCGGCTCGGCTCCATCCCTGCTCCACGACGCGAGGATGGTGTGGAGCACCGCCTGCCCCCGGAGAGGCTCCCGGTTCCCCGCGAGAAGCTGGCCATCGCTTGGACGTCCATTCCCTGTGTTTTGTTGGGTTTTGTGCGTGGTTTTTTCGCCAAATGATCAAGGATGCTCCTCGATGGTCCTCGCCCAAGGAAAAATGCACACGTCCGAGCGATGCCAAGGAAGGGGGCTCCTGCCACAACCCGCTGGGCGCGCTCCCTGCCCGCGGCCCGCTGGGGCGACCCCACCTCGACGCCTCCCAGGAAGGCCCCGGCGCCCAGCACTCGCTGCGCAGGGACCGACCGCCCCGGCACTCCTCGACCCAGGGATCCAACGTACAGGGCAGTTTTTCATACATAGGATTTTCAAACATATAGGTTTCTAATACATGGTTAATGTATGAGTAAATTCATGCATAAACTCTTCGTTGTTTTTAAAACTACATCCCTGCATGTTTAACACATGATCCGCACGCGGAGCATGTTTTAAACAACGGCGCTACATTGAAACAATCAGGACGGAGGTTTTTCGCAAGTGTCGGCCCCTAGAGGGGCCCTCGCCGGGGCTCGGGCCCGTCCAAAAGCGACCCAGGATGAAAGACCGGTCCAAGGGAATGGGTCGAGACTTCCGAGGACCGCACATTGGAAAAATCACGGCGTCGGATCTCTGGGTAGGCCTACCACGAAGCGTTCTCAGAACCCAGAAACCTTCCAAGAGCAACAGCAATGTCCTCAGAACATGGGCCCGATGTGCTAAAAAACAAGTCAGTCCCAGCCAGAAATGTTCTAAGAACATTTCGTTGAAACCACAAAAGGTTCTTAGAGCATTCTTTGGTAGGCCTAAAGATAGGTGAGCCAGCACTCACACTCACTGGCCGCAGGCTCGTTCCGCAGCCCTCGGGCTGGCGACGCGATGCCTGCGCCTCGGGGATCTTCCGACCCGGGTCCATCCAGACCCGGGTCAGTCAAGCCTGGCAGAATCCTGCCAAGTCCCGCAAAATCCTGCACCTCAGCCCGGGCCAATGCGAAGGAAACTGCACGATCCGGCAGGATCCTGCACCCAAACCCGAGTCCATGCGACCCTGGCCCTGCAAGATCCTGGAAGCTCCGGCGCTCTGGCTGACACCCGCTTGCATCGACCCCCGTC